TATTATTTTTCTACATATATATTTCTGATATGATTTTTAATCTAGTTATTGAAATTAATCCTTTTCCTGCTGAGCTTTTTGCATACATTACAACCAGTGGCAATTGGGATTTCCCCTGCTGCGCCTGCTGAGCTTTTCAACACATGCCAAGCATTCCAATTGGAACTTCCCCAATTGATAAGCCGCAATGGAAGCTCGGTATCAGTGTGCCTTCCAGCAATGGACGCCCCTGTCGGCCTTCCAGTGGAAAGCTCGAATGGCGGGGCAATGGGAGAATGAACGCATTTACAAATTCCTGCGCACATATAGAGAATGAACGCGAATATTTGAGCTTGATTGCCGCTGTTAAGGCTCCAGCACTTGAACTTCCAATTCAGTTATAATTTTGCTACTCTTTTCGTCGGAACACGGTACGGCGGAACGTTTCAGCGTGTGACGAGACGTTTTTGTTGTGTTTCATAGAACAAAATAAAAAAACGTTAATTTGTTGCTGTTAATTTAATCGCATCAATAAAATCTACTAACCGTTAACTATAAACAATTCAAAACTTGTGTTTGTTGTGCAATAGAAATAGAAAACTTGTTTTAATGCCTGCGCCACGTGCTTTCTACAGAGCCGGAGCACATGTCTGGGTTACATTTTAAGACGCGTAACAGTCCGTCTCAGAAGACGTCCCTGCGTTGGGGCGACTGCTGCCCAGGTGCAAACAGTCAAGAATCCTTCGTGTTTCCTATTTATTGATCAACTATTTTTTACCGTTACGCGCTGTCGTTCGTTCCGCCTGTGATCTGTATAAACTAGCAAAAAGTAGCGAAAAAGCTTAATACGACTTTTTTAAGGAAATGTTGCATAAGTCAAGGCGCATTTGATTGGCGCGCGCATTTGCCGTCGTTAAAATCAGCCAAAGACGCGCGGGGCACTCACTCGCCATACACATAACTTAACGCCTCTGCTTTGAACTTGGCACACACACACTCACACACACACACACACAAACGAACACACACGAACGTACACTGAAAGGTTTTACCATAGCAAAGGTGAGTTCAATTGCCCGCAAATATAAATGCATTGGAACATGCGCAGTGATTGCGGCCTGCTCTCATTTGCTGTCTCTCTCACTCTCTAACACTCAGCGCGTGCCTTCCATTTGGAAGTGCCAACCCATGTGGTTGTTTTTGTTATTGCTTAATTACCGTTGGTTTTGTGAATGAAGCTTTGCTTAACTGTTTATCACAAACGGAAAATGTTTATGGATAAGTGGGGTAGATTGTTTATATAAAAGCACATGTGAGAGACAACAGGAAAGCATCCTATATATTTAAATATATTTGTGTGTAGTATATTGATCAATTGCTGATTATAGATAGCATCTAATATAGATATATACTTTTATATGGCACACCTACCCCATAATTTTATTGCCATTATTGAAATCAGTGAATATATAGAGCATGAGCTAGTCTAGGCACTCAAGTGCTTGACTCTTTTAGATCTACACTGAGTTATATACATAAATGTTTACCCAATTGACCAATTGCAACTAATTGGCACCTGCCATTTAGCACCATTAATGCGAGACTAGCTAAATGTCGTTGCCTTGCAGCGAGGTCCTTTAATGTTGGGCGTATTGCGCCATTGCGTTAGTTAATTGGACGCCATTAGCAAGGACAGCGGGCGCTGAATCAAAGGCCATTACAGAATGCCCGGATAGTGCGGAGGGGCCGAAGTTTATCCTTGCACAAAGGTCAGGCGCGGGAGGATGTCCCTGACCTTGTCAAGGGGTGTCCTGTGCAGCGGTTTCATATTTAATGCTGCGTGTTGCACAGCAAATTAATTTACAAAAATTAAAAATAATGAAATCTTATCTACGCTGAGCAAAGACGTAAAACTACTAGAAGGTCGCTTTATACATACATATATACCTGCGCCAATGCCTCTTGGTATACGTAATAWATAAATATTAATATACTTGCATACATATACATTCATACAATGTTCAGTGATTCCTTTTATGCTCAGCTTTCTTCATTCTCAGCTGTCGACTCTAGTGCAAGCAAGAAGAGTTTGATCACAGCGTATTATGGTTGTCTCGCTCACACTTACAGATATGTATCGGCATGCATGCAGGCAGATTCAATCATAATTGGTCAGCCATCGCTTTTAGTCATGGCTGCTTACATTCTTCACTGCCGCTATTACTCTTCATGCAAGAGGAGCTCGTTCGGTGTTCACAGTCTTTGTCCTGTTCACTCACCCAGTTTCGGTGATCAGTGCTCATGCTACTCGACACGTTCTCACCTACATATACAGTGGGATTTACATATATATTTATCATATTATGCAAATCATAAACATTGAGTCAGCTTTGATAGTTAATAATCTAGAATATAAGTAAATTATAGTACCTCAACAGGGATATTTGTCAGTCCAAAATAATATATTATTAAGCACCATTCTCAATTCTTGCCCCTTCATTAGCTGTAAGGTCAAACCCAACGCAAAGTATTAAGTGACAAAGAGGAGAGGCTACTCTACTTCTAAGCTCAAGGAAAAAACACCTTAACGCAACAGTATGATTAACATAGCCGGCGTGGTGAGCATTGTGCTCTTCTATCTGCTCATCCTGGTCGTTGGTATTTGGGCCGGTCGCAAGAAACAGTCGGGCAATGATTCCGAAGAGGAGGTGATGCTGGCTGGCCGCTCCATTGGCCTCTTCGTGGGCATCTTCACTATGACAGGTGCTCTTTGATCTCTAACCATACTATCTAGTATATGTCTCTATATCCTGATATCTCTCTATCTCCATAGCCACTTGGGTGGGTGGCGGGTACATCAATGGCACTGCGGAAGCGATCTATACCTCTGGCTTGGTTTGGTGCCAAGCTCCTTTTGGCTATGCACTCAGCCTGGTGTTTGGTAAGTTTCCCATCGTATGGGCATAATTATAATTAGAACTAGATATATCAAATTTGAAATATTGTTTCCTTGAATGTAAACATTTCTCTTTCACATCTCTCTTTCCTTTAGGTGGCATCTTCTTCGCTAATCCCATGCGCAAGCAGGGTTATATAACAATGTTGGATCCGTTGCAGGATTCGTTTGGTGAGCGAATGGGCGGCCTGTTGTTTCTGCCCGCCCTCTGTGGCGAGGTATTCTGGGCAGCTGGCATTCTGGCTGCGCTGGGCGCCACGCTGTCCGTCATCATAGACATGGATCATCGGACGTCGGTGATCTTATCGTCGGGCATCGCCATATTCTACACGCTCTTTGGCGGACTCTACTCGGTGGCCTACACAGACGTCATACAGCTGTTCTGCATCTTCATTGGCCTCTGGATGTGCATTCCATTCGCGTGGACCAACGATCATGTGCGCAGTCTGAGCGACATGGACGTGGACTGGATTGGGCATGTGGAGCCGAAGCAGCGCTGGTTCTACATAGACTATGGCCTGCTGCTCATCTTTGGCGGCATTCCCTGGCAGGTGTACTTCCAACGTGTGCTCTCCAGCAAGACGGCCGGCCGAGCCCAGCTGCTCTCCTATGTGGCAGCAGCCGGCTGCATCCTGATGGCCATTCCGCCCGTGCTGATTGGCGCCATTGCCAAGGCAACTCGTGAGTTGGACTAGAGCTTAGCCTAATCCCAGTCTAATCCAATCTTTGCTTGTGTAGCCTGGAACGAGACGGACTACAAGGGCCCCTATCCACTGACTGTGGACCAGACCAGCATGATATTGCCCATGGTCCTGCAATACTTGACGCCCGACTTCGTCTCCTTCTTTGGCTTGGGCGCTGTCTCGGCGGCTGTGATGTCCTCAGCCGATTCGTCCGTCCTGTCGGCTGCCTCGATGTTCGCACGCAACGTCTACAAATTGATTTTCCGTCAGAAGGCATCCGAGATGGAAATCATTTGGGTAATGCGCGTCTCCATCATAATCGTGGGCATTCTGGCCACCATCATGGCCCTCACCATACCCTCCATCTACGGCCTGTGGTAAGTTCGTTGACTTTGATTGATGGCTCATTTAGTTAAGTGCTGTCTGCTCTCTGGCTTGCAGGTCCATGTGCTCGGACCTGGTCTACGTTATTCTCTTCCCGCAGCTGCTGATGGTGGTGCACTTCAAGAAGCACTGCAACACCTATGGCAGCCTAGCGGCCTACATAATTGCGCTCTTCATTCGGCTGTCGGGCGGAGAGGCCATCTTGGGGCTGCCAGCTCTCATACACTATCCGGGCTATGATGAGGAGACCAACACGCAGCTGTTTCCCTTCCGCACCATGGCGATGCTGATCAGCCTGATTACGCTCGTCTTTGTCTCCTGGTGGACCAAGTAAGTCCCAGCTTAGCTCCAATCACATTTCTCTAAACTTTTCTCCTCTCCTGCTAGAATGATGTTTGAGTCGGGCAAGCTGCCACCGAGCTATGATTACTTCCGGTGCGTGGTCAACATACCGGAGGATGTGCAGCGCGTGGGCGATCCGTCCGAGGCTGGGGAGCAACTCTCAGTCATGGCGGGTCCACTGGCACGCTCCTATGGCGCGGCCACCATGGCCGGCAAGGACGAGCGCAATGGACGCATCAATCCCGCTCTAGAGTCTGACGATGATTTACCTGTGGCCGAGGCGAAGCGTCTGAATCAACAGACAGCGCAGACGCAGGTGCAAAAGATGCTCGACTCAGCCACTGGGAAGGCAGGCGGCGGGGGCGGCGGTCAAAGGGAGGGCATGGCCATGCCCAATGCCGAACAGGATAACACAGCCTTCTGAGCGGGCGACTGCAACCCACAACTGTTCCGTAACTCTTAGTACTAAAGCATCCACTAAACTAGTTGCAGCAATTATGTGTTTAGTTTAAGCTTCTTAGTACACATACAGCAAATACGTGCGTATAGAGTATACATCCACTTATACACGTATATGAGGTATCTTCAGACACACAAGTGCTCAGGTATAAAGTGCAGACATATTTTGTATTCATTTTACCATAGTTTTTGTATAGTTTCTACCTAACGGCAAAATCTCTTTTTGATGTTTTTGTTTTGCTTTTGTGTTTTAGGCAGGCTTTGAGATTAGAGTAAATGGAGTTCATAGAGCAATTGAAGCATAAACTATGTATAAATGTCTTAGAATATCGATAAAAGTCGATATATCGATAGTAACTAAACAATACCAAAACATATCAACTTGATTCTAAACTATTTTCGACTCAGTTCGAGTCTTAAGCTGAATTGAGCAATCGATAAATATCGACTAACACTAAGAAACCTATCAATGCGTTTTTATTAAGTTTTTTTTGACTGTGTTTTAGGCAGAGTAAATTGAGTTTCTATATATGATCGATCGATAAAGTAACTAGAAGCATATCGATCCTTCAACTATTTTATATAGTTTCAGTTATGTTTTCGTTTTAAGCTGATTTTGAGTAGAGTAAATGGAATTTATATAAAATGTTATAAGCGATCGATAAATATTGATCGGTAAAAAAAAAAAACAAATACATATCAATGTCAAACAAAACTGAAAGTAACTGTAAACATATCAAATGCATTTCACCTATGCAAACGAAATGCATTCAATACGTATTATGCGATAGAGTTAAACAATGCGAGGAACTGCAAACGAAGTAAATATAGAGTAAACACACCTATATATATACCCACAATTATACATATATATTCCTAGTCATGTTCATTTGTTTATGTAAATTAATTGGCAAATAATTCAATGATCCTAAGAAATATGAAATATCGCTTAGGTGCATATTATGTGAATCATGAATCATGTGTCCTTCCACAAGCAAAGAGCAACTAACTAGCAGAATGAGTAAACCTAAAGCATATCAACTGAAGAATACATAACTAAATATAAGAATATAGGCAATGAAAATACAAAAATACATAAAATGAATTTTAAGCTGCTCTCAAAGAGCGAACACAAAAATGCTATTAGAGATATACCTATAGATACCATATATATGAACACAGTTATATACATATACATACAAAAACCCCAATATATATACATATATATATATATATAAATGAATAATAATTTTTTTCATTTCAATTTTATTCAATTTTTTTTAAACTAAACTTTTAATGCATATACATGAAATTTAATGTCCTGAACCTATTAAAAATTTAGGCAAGGGGTATTGTGAAAAGCTATAAGGCATATATATGTAATACTGAATTGATATACATTTCTCTGTATAAACTTTAAATTTTAAATACTATATATATTCTTACATATTTCGAAGCTGCAGACACCCAAATTTGAGCATTTTGGGTTTTATATAGATCTTCATATAACCCCAAAATTTGAAATAGGAACATTTCCGACAATGTATTGGTGAGTTTTGGTTTATTAACACATTCTGATGCCACAGTAATGCTCTAAGAATTTAATCAAAATAGTTAAAGCAAAAAACCAAGAAACCAAGTTCCATCAGTTGTCTCTAAAGAAGTTGGGGTTGTAGGAGGGCGATGTTTTGAATTATGTAACCAAAAATTATTTTGCTAGGTGTGCATAGCAGACTAAAGTATTTTCCCACTCGTTTTTCAATTTCATTGTCAAAATATCTACCCCATTTATAATGGTAAATTTAAAAAAAAATATATATGTGTATATGTATATGTAACCCGATAAATACTAAATACCTTAAATGTTGACTGCTTTTTGATTGAAACTTTTACATGAGCCTAAAGTCCATAACTGACATATAAATAACTAAAATGAACTATATATGATAAATGATATATGGTGCATGATATATATATATATATATATATGTGTTCTTGCTGTTGTTAAAGAAATTGTTGATTGTTATTTGACTATTTTGACCATTATCTCTGAGTGTTTCCTTTTGCTAAATAATAGTTAAAGCATCCACAGTCGATATTACGTAAGTTGTGTTGGAATAAACCTTTAGCAAATCGTTAATGGAAACTGCGAAAATGCGAAACTGCGAAACCTGAGAAGAGATGTTTGAGTTTCAASTTTTCACTCTCTCACTCACTCATTGTAACTAACTGTCTGTATATAAGAAAACAAAACAAAATATTAAAAAAAAAAACCACCAACTATTTTATGATGAAAGATGCAAGTTGGAAGACGAACTAAGGGTACTTCGTAGACAGTTGATTAGTTTTGGGGCTTTACTTACGTTCACCTATTGTTGTCTAATCAATTGATGTATAATTACGTACATACATATAAATATATATATACTTATTAGTGGCATATTAAAACTATGTTAATTAATTATATATACATATATATATATTGAGATGAGTTTATGATATACAAACATATATATTATACATAAAAGAGTAATTAAATTGAAAATCGAGAATACATATCAATGTTTAAAGCATAGCAAAGCGAGAAATGATAAATAAAAAATTATTATTTAATAAAAAACAAATATATACGAGTATTTATATATATTCATAGTTTATATACATATATATATTAAAATGGTTTCCCTGTTGTTGCAAATATCGTGTAATTATTTATTCTATTTCGAAAAAAACCAAAGRAAAAAGCAGAGACTAACTGTATTTATTTATTTATTTATTTAGCCCATATAAAGTACAGCTTGTGTAATAACAACAAACAGACAAAGAGCTGCCTAATGACAATTTAAAACAATGGAATCGTATTATCGTAAGCGGAAATTTCCCATCATCAAAAATGCAGTCTTCGTGTAAGTGCGGAGCTGGTGGACGGAAGATGGCGGGAAATGGAGAGGGGTATGGGAATGCGGGAACGGGGAACGGGGAATGGGGAAGCAAGAAGGGCAGCTGCTTCAAGTTAAAGAGCAAATGGCAATTGCCGCTGCTGTTGCTGGCCGCTAACAATGATGCACAAGCAACGAAATTACACAGCATTTGGAGCTTGCAGCAGAAGATCACAGATCACATCAAGCAGATCAGCTGCTGCGGCGGCGGCTGCTGGCGACAATAGCCTCGTAATGGAGACCAGTTGCCGTAGCCCATGTGTCTATGTGAATTATGTCTGGCTGTTTAGAAGTAGATTTGTTCACTAATTTGCACAGAAGAAAAATTACACAGCAGACAAAGATGAGAATTTGATGAAATATTTCAGTTAACAGTTGATTTAAAAGTCTTTTAAATGCTTGCAAATTCAGGTGTTGGTGCTTAAGTATGCATTTGGCAAAGAAGTTGTAGGAGTTGGCGTGGCGCAGCGGCAAGGTGTCTGCAGAGTAAACATGAGGAGGAGGACTCGGGTTCGATTTCAGCTCGCGTTCGTGTTTTACACTTTACTCTCAATATTTACATTGTGTCTATTTTTAGAGAGATCAGCTGATAGGCGAAATGAGTGAAGGAGAGAGATGAAGCACAAGAGATGATGAAAGTAAAGAGGATGATGGTATGCGTGTGTGTGTGTAAGTAGTAGGAGCGAGTTGATGATTGGGTTTTCTTTCTATATAATAGCAGCGAGATGGACGAAGGAAAGGAAAGGTAAGTTCGCAAAAATGTAAAGTAGTCCAAATGGGAAGCGAGAGAGAGAGGAGAGAGCGAGAAACAACAGAGAATGAGAGCGGAATTTGATTTGGTATTTGTATTTTTTTTTTTTTCGAAAATAAACTCAATGCGCAGTAAGATCAATGTAACTGCTGTAATAAATATTATTTTATTTTATTTAAATTAATCGAAATGATAGTTGATTTTGATTCAATATCAATGCTCGAAAAGTCTGATTTAAATACTTAATTGAACTGACAACGTATTAGAAAAGTGGCTGCAGCTCACTGAAAGTGCTATAGAATAACTTATTAGCTAATAGCTATAAACTGTAGCTTACAATGCATACTCACAGACTTTAGAGTTGATTTGACTTGGATAAGGGCGGAACTAACGCAGCGCATGCCAAAGATGCGATGCAAGATAAACACAGCGGAGTGCGGAGAAAGACCCGGGTTCGAATACTCGAATACCAGCACAGTTCGAAGCATAATAATAATGAAAGAGTGCTGTATGTCAATATCTTGCAGCAAATGATGTTTCCATTTAGCAGTTAGAAGCAAATTTGTGAATTCGCCCTAAGGCAGGCGGTCGCAAGGTCAAGGTTAACAAACACAAATCTTTCGCTGTCGCTGGCTTGGCCTTTATAGTTAATTACTTTTGGAACTGAGGTTTGATTTCAGCATAATTAATATCCGGCTTGCCAGAGAAGTTTCTAAAGTGTGAAAATACACAAGCTAATCTATACAAGTTAATCAGCGACCCTGGCTCGATCTCACAACATGTCAATATTGAAGTACTCGAATTCCATATGAAGTGGCTTCGAGACAGCGTGACTACAGGAGATGCGTGAGGTAGCGAGGCTCAGTTCATTCATTATATTTGCTTATTTCTCAAATTAAAAGACAAGTCATGTTTCAAATGAAGCTAATCATGTTATACAAAAGACGACTTTTGATTGTATACAGTTATTTTTAAATTGCGCCTTGTTCAACTAATTTATATTGCATTAGTGCGAAACATTGGCTTCAGTTGTGTTCATTATGCTGTTGCACTTGTGCAATTAACTTGTAAACTTAATTAGATACAAAACCACAACAAAGCTGTTTCTATTGCTGTTGTTATTGCTGCTGTTGTGGCTACAGTAGAGACTGAGGAGGGGCTGAGGCGGAGGCTGAGGCTGAGGCTGTGGGTCGCTCGCTCATCACAAGTTCATAGCTGGCTTCGCACAAGAATTGCCCTCTAATTGATGTTGCTGCTGTTGTGGATGTTGCTGTCGTGTATGTTGTTGCCGCTGCTGTTGCTGCGGCTGCAGTTGATGGCAGCTAAATATCCGGTATTTTTCTTGAAATTTGCATAGCAATCGCCAAAGCTGTTTGGCTTGGGGAGCCTTCACTTGTCATTGCAGTTAGCTGACCGTTAGCTGGCCAATTAGCAGAGCGGAAGAATTTCACGAATGTCATGTCCACAAGCGAGCGGAAGTATTTGTGAGATCTCTCTCAAGAAGACGAATTTTCCACATAGTATCAATAGTGAGAGCTGATATAGGAAATTGAAAGTCCATCAGCTTCAATTTCATTAGCTTCCCATAATCTTCAATAGAAGGTTATCGATAGATTAGACCGACGGCTAATCCTTTATGTTTATTTCCGGATATCGATATTTTCGATTAAAATCAATTTCTGCTGCATTAGTTCAATAAATCGTCTGTTAGAAATACATTTCTCTTCTTCTTTATTCAGACATTATTAAGTATTATGTCTATATATTATAACTAATATTGGGTTCGTACAACATGGTCGACTATTTTTGTTTTTTTTTTTTTTGTTTTTTGTTTTAAGATGCGAATAATTTACAATTGGGTTCTAATTTTCTAGAGCAACAAATGAATTTTGATGATAGCCAAATTGTGAATGATGGAAGGGATAGGGGCACGAGTATTCTAAGGCACTGGATCGATGCTGGCGTTATCCAATACTCTAGCTATACTACTTGCGATAGGTATAGCCACCGTTGGAGCTGTAGCCCTGCTGAATGGTATCCGGGACTTGGCGGGGCGCTGAGTAGGAGTAGCCTGAATCGTTGGAGGGTCCACTGGGAATGCTGTCGCCATTGGGGGCTCCATAGCTGCTCGAGGGTGCTGCGGGTGCGCTATAGGAGGACGAAGGGCCTGTCGAGTAGCTGCCGCTTCCATTGCTGCTGGAAGATGACGATGACGACGAGAACGAGGAACCGCCATGGGAGCTGAAGCTGCCTCCGCCGCTGGGAGCCGAGTAAGAACTGGATGGAGCTGAAGCTGGAGCTCCATATGAGCTGGACGGAGCTGAGGGATACGGTCCACCAATGTTGGCGCTTGGGCTGGGAGCCGAGTAGGAGCTGGACGGACCGG